GGCCGAATCCTGCGCTGACAGTTGAGATCGCTACCACCCTTGCCTTTTCTTCCCGGCTCTGTGTATTTAGCTCACTGCACCAAGGCCGTGAAGCAATTCAGGCCGCAGGATTTGCGCCCCGACCTTGTGCCGAGCCCAGAGCGCGACAGGAAGAAACAGACTCGGTCTCGGTGGTCCGGAACTCCTGCTCCGCTACAAGTGACAGTCATGGGAACACACAACTGTTCATGACAGCGAGACGGAATCTGTATTTTCCCTGGGGTACACCCAGTGTGCCTAGTACAGCGCCGGGCACAAAGGAGGTGCTCAGTACATGTATACTGAATGTGTGAATGAATGAAATAGTTGTTACAGAAGCAAACAATCTCAAAAGAATCAGTCCCTTTCACAAACTCCCGTTTCTCCAGATTTCCACAAGAACCCTCAGACACCCTCTCCCACTCTAGATGACAGTCTGCCTAGTCATCATGAGAAGCTTTATAATGGCTTTCAACTCCTTTGCTCAAGAACCTCCTGTTGTTCTCTGATGGTAATTCAGCACGATTTCTTCCTGGTTGTCAAAGGCCTTCATCGTCCCCCTTTCTGAGACTCTCTGACAAAGGCCGTCTACCAAGTTCACTTGTCTCTTTCCACGTGCTTTACTCACCACCACCTCCTTGACTTTTCTTCTGCTTTTAGAGTTGAATCTTATTTATTTATTTATTTATTCAAGAAATTGCGATCCAAAGAAAGCAATTAAAGAGAAGGAAAAAAAAAAGACATAAAAGAAGGTCCTGGTGAATTAGCATGTGGAGCTAGGAGGCACCACTCTCTTAAGTACTAAGGACTAAAGATGGACATCAGAGCAAAACTCAGACACTGTCCCTACCCTCACAGGGTTTAACTCCCCAAGCTAAAACAACAGTATAATTGAAGCTGCAGCAATGTTCATGTTGTTGCATTTACTGATATCACTTATGGAAATTAATCCTGAGAAATTTATTGTCTCAAGATAGTCGGCACACAGTACATACACACACCATTGTTACCAAAACAAAAAAGAAACAACCCCAAATTTTAAAAGTTTACTGCATGAAGCAGAAATAAAACTGTTCTTTGATTTCTTATTCACTCATTAAATATATTTCAGGGCATCGATTTTTGTTTTCCTTACATAATAATACACTTATCAAGCACTTATGTAATGTGCTCACAATGTAGCAGGCACTTTGCATATATTAGGTAATTTAATTCTTACAATAATCTAGAAGGTACTATTATTATCTCCAATTTATAGATAAGACATAGAGAAGCTGTGTCTTGCCCAATGTCACAAGCTTACAAGATGAGAATGCAAAATGAGAACTGGGGCAGTCTTCTTGCTCTTAACCACTTCACTAGATTGTCCATGCGCTTCCTAGAAGTCCTGACTCTGTGCCAGACACATGCTGGTGATTCAGAATTGAACCAAATGTAATCTTGGACTTTCAGGAGCTACTCATAGTTTAAGCATGATGACAGGCATATAGACAAGTAATCACACTATTATATATCGTAATTTGCAGATAACATAAGTGACTGGGAATGAAAATGATTACATAACTGATGCTGTATATTCACAGAATAAAGCATTTGCTGTCATAACGAACATATTATGAAAAATGTCTACAAAGGAAAAGGCTGACAATGTAAGATTGTGTAAAAGGTATGAAACATATAGATGGTAGTTGAAAGGAATATAGAAAATGTTACTGTGTCACAATTATCAGAGTATTTTTCCTTTTTAAATTTGCTTAATGGTAAATGTTACTGTAACAATTGAGAAAAAATATTTTAAAACTAACAAACTAGGCCTTCAATGAACAATTTTGGCCCAAATGAATGAGTGAATGAGGCTGCAAACTCATTGGTATCAGTCAGTGCCTACCAGTTCTGTGTGCACAAGAGAAGCTCAAAAATTGATTAGATATTTGGAAAAGCATTATTACTCTCTTCTTCCCTCTGCTACTACCTTCTACCTCTTTTTTCAGGTTATCTTGAATCAGTTTGCAATAGTTGTAAAGGGGGCCTCAGAGTTTTGCTTTTCCCTTGAACCCAGTCCAAGCAGACTTTTGTCCCTAACCTCCATAGTCAAGGTTATCTAGTGACCTTCACTCTGCCCAAGGCAGTGGCCAGTTCTTGGTCTTCATCTTATTTGAACCTACTTAGCAGCATCAGACACAGTTGTTCAGTTCCTCCTTCAAACTCCTTTTTACTTGACCCCTTGTTTTCCATCGATTTCATCTGCTGCTCCTTTCTAGACTTTTTCATTAGGTCCTTTGCCTCTTCTGATCTTTGCAAATTAGAATGTCCCAGAGCTCAATCCTTGGTGTACTTACATTCCCTCCCTAGGGGATCTCATCTCAGACATCTGTATGATAAAAGCTTGCAAATTGAAATCTAGAGTAGGAACCCCTGACTCTGTTTATCTTATTGCTTCCTTCCTAGTTCTTCTTAGATGTTTCATACACATTTCAAACTTCACACTTTCAAAACAAACACTTTATGTTTACCCCTCACCAAACCACCTCCTCCCTCAGTTTTCTCAGCTTTGTAAGAAATATTACCTTTTACCCAGTTGCTCTGATCCTTCTCTTTCTCTCAGAGCTTATATGCAATCCATCAGCATATCTGTTTCCTTCACATTCAAAACACAACTCAAATCTGACCACTATTTCTTTCCTCACCACAACCAGCAGAGTCCAAGTCACTATCCTCTCCCCCATCACTGGCCCCCTGTGCTTAAATTCGTGCCCCCCCAGAGTCTTTCCCCACACTTAGAGTGATTCTTACAAACGGAAATCAGAATAAATACAGGCTAGTGGTTGCGGTCAAGCATCTTTGAGCTAGACTACTTGGGTTCAAGTTCACCTTCTATAACATATTAATATAACATTCATGCTACTTAACTTCTTTGTAGTTCAGTTCTCAATTTCATCGTCTATAAAATAACACTGAAGATAGTATCTACACCATAGGGTTGTAAAATAAAATGAGTGAATATAAGAAAAACACTTGGAAAAGAGACTGGCACATATGCAGTCCTATGTAAGTATTAATTATTATTTCCACTAGTAATCGTATGACATATTCCACTCTCAGATAATTAGTGATTAGTCATCATGATTAAAAATATTTCTAGGCAAGGTCTTGACTTCACACTGACTTGACACTGGATTACTCTCTCAAATCTCTCACCGTGTGCTCCTTGCAGTTTCCCCAGCGCACTAACATGGTCCCAGGCAGAGGCCTTTGCACCTGCTGTTCCCTGTGCCTGGATGCTCTTCCTCATGGCTTGCTCCCTAACTTCATTTACATCCCTGCTCAACTGCCGCCTTCTCATCGAAGCCTATCCTGACAACTGTATCAAATCCCACTCCTTTCATTCCCTATTATGTCACATTTCAACGGATTTGTTTATTGACTGTTTCTTCCACTAGAATGTAAGCTCCGGGGGGGTAATATGTTGTCTCCCTAGCAAATAGGCAGTATTTGCAATTGTTCTCATTTAATAAACATTTGTTGAAGTAGGGATCTGGTTGAAGTAGGGATCTCTCATTGTTAAACTGAGACCCAAATATATTAAGTAACTAATTTCTTGCCCCACCATTGCTTTACCCTTTTTGCCAGGCCAGAATAATTGGAAGAGGAGAAATAAAACAATAAATAGCTTTTCTTGGCTGGGAGCAAGGTAAAGAAAGTACAGTACAGAGACATTTTACTTTAAATTTTTGGAAGGAAGGCAAAGAGCAGGACTGAGCCAAAAGGAAAAATGTGAGAAAGGGAAAAAATAATTATGTCACCCTCCATTCCCTTACATGTTCCCACCTTTTATACTTCTCTGCCCTTTTTGCTTCCATCCCCACCCAAGCCACGAGGTGCTCTCAGCTGTCCACAGCCCCCTGTAGGACTCAATCAGGCATTTCCTCACTCCCCGACAGTGCCCCATGTTTCCAAGTCATCTCTCCCTCTTCCTCCTTTCTGCCTCTGTCCCCTCAGTTTGGTTCGCCAGGAAAACAAGCAGATCGAGCCAAGTCATGTTAAGGTGAAGATTCCTAAGAACTCAGTCCTGTCTTGTGAGAGGTGGACGCTCATGTGCTCAGACACATATATCTAACAAGTGAAACCGGAGCGTTTTCGAAGAGGACATTTGACTATGCAGTGGGAGGCTTTCTTCATTCATATCCTCAGCCTAGCAGGCTATGTTAAGTGCCGCCCTGAGAGATGAAAAGTGAAAAGGGATCCTGCGCATCCTGTCCGGAACTCTCTTTGCGCAGGAGTGGAGGTGAACGCCAGCAATGGGGGCTTCTCCCACACGGAGGTGTCAAAGACAGACATTAGTTAAAGCAGT